TATATTTACAGTAAACACATGATCTCTTTAATAGGGGAGGGAATAAACGAATTTTTTCATCATATAGAAGGAAAAAATTGAGGACTGATCAACATGACAGTAATACCGAGAGGTACAATACCCGTGCTTAAATAGGGAAATTGTAGACAGTGAACTTAATTTAATTTTCTAAGATTTCCTGGATAACTCCCTATGTGGCAGACCCCACCTCTGCCTTTTCCATGGCTGAGACTTTTTAGGCTCAGTCTAAACAGGAGAAAGACAGCACCTATCAGCTAAATGTACTGAGGAAATTCCAGCACCACAGCTGTAGATAGGACCTCAGTAGCCCTGGCAAGCAGAGTCCTCTCTGCCATTACAGACCTGCAAGCCCTTGCATCTCTGTCCTGAAATGTAGACGCTGCCTGTGGAGCACCAGCGACAGCAGAGAGCTTGGCTGAGGCCTGGGTCAGGGCTCATAGCACAAGGCAGCGCTACTTCTGCCGCTCCACTGCTGCCAGCCTTTCCTCAGCCCCAGAGCGTGTGGCTCCCTTTTGATTTGTTTGGAGCCCAGTCACCTCAGCAGCCCTGGAGGGCCCCACAAGACTGAGAGGGTCCCAGCCACACCTTCCCCGGGGTCTCTCCTGGGGAAGAAGCAGAGCCAGAGCAACCCACTCACAGCATTCAGTTGGTCCACCTTCTTCTTCTCAGGTGCCTTCATGGTGGCTGCTAAAATCTCATCTCCTTTGAACTCTTTGTAGAGCTCCTGTAGTGTCTCTCGGGTCTCAGCATTCGTATTTTTCAAGTAATAAGATGGATCCTGTTTGGCCTTTTCCTCATCTACAAAATAGTGTATAGTACAGGTACTGAGCAGCCAAGGCCCCAGAGTCTCAAGATGAGCATGACAGGAATAGAGATGGAGCCGGTCACATGAGCACAAGCCGCAGCTGAGATGACTAAGACAGGCTTCTCTGGCCACAGCACAGCCACAGCTCACTGCCCTGGGTCACCTGGCAGCAGCACTAGTGGGCGCAGCAAGGTGGGGAGCACACAGAACACATCATCATGGGGCCTGACCCCCAGGCCTAGAGGCGTCTCCCTCATAGGGCCAATGGTCCAAACTTAAATGTCACTGTTCTTTTATTTACCTGTATAATGACATCTCTTCACAATGAGGTTTTGCTTTTGTAATGTTAAAAGTGCTTCTTTCTGCCAGGCGGTGATGGCGCCCGCCTTTAATCCCAGCACTCGGGAGGCAGAGGCAGGCGGATCTCTGTGAGTTTGAGGCCAGCCTGGTCTACAAGAGCTAGTTCCAGGACAGGCACCAAAGCTACAGAGAAACCCTGTCTCGAAAAACCAAAAAAAAAAAAAAAAAAAAGTGCTTCTTTCTCTTCCTTTTATCTTTTTTAAATTTATTTATTTGGTTTTTCAGGACAGGGTTTCTCTGTGTAGCCCTGGTTGCCCTGGAACTCACTCTGTAGACCAGGCTGGCCTCAACTCAGAGATCCACCTGCCCCTGTCTCCTGAGTGCTGGGATTAAAGGTGCCACTGCCCAGCTAAAAGTGCTCATTTCAAGGGAAGGAAGAGTTTGGTGTATTCCATCTGTGCTACATGTTGAGTGCTAAGCCAAAGGCTGTAACTTGCTGAGCAGCGAACATGCCTAAGGTCTGGCCTCTGAGTCTACTGAGCTCAGTTATTCCTGAGTTGTTCTACCTCCCTAAATCCTAACTGGTTCATAGTGTTCATTATTAAGAGTCACAATATTATTTCCTGCTGAGGTGGGCCAACTAAGGTCTGGGCATGAGTCTAGCTGGCTCCTTGGTATGAAACAAGTGAGCTCAGAAACTTTAGCCACTCCATAGTATAGTATGTTACAGTGTGCTCAATAGCATGGGCCAAACACAGGAAGCAAGAGAACCAACCGAGAGCCCAGTCTAACTACCCTAGAAAGATCTGATGTCACCCAGAGTCTCCCCTACAGCCCCTCTTATCCTATGCCCTGGGAAAAGCAGCAGTCAACAGGAAGGGAAAGTGAGGTGTCCTAGAATGTCCCTGACTCCAGTCAGCTGCTTCTCTGATACGGTGGTGCATACCTGTAGCTCAGTACTTAGAGGGTAGAAGCAGGAGGGTGCTGCAAATGCGAGACCAGCCTCATCTGTACAAGCAAATCTCGGGACAGCCAGGGCTTCCCAGAATAAAGGAAGCTGAAGCCTAGTTAATGAGAAGCCACTCTGGAGCCACAGTCTGAGAGCCCCAAAGGAAGGCTCGCCCAAGAAGCACCCGTACTCTACTCACGGCAGCCATGGTTGTCCATACCTGGATCTATGACTTTCATGTTATTCTTCACATGGAAGAAGTTGGAAACATTGAATTTGTCCAGGTTGGTGGGGTCCTGTGACAAGAAGAGAACACTCAGGAGGAAAAGCTGCAGGTGTTGAGGCTTGACGGGTGCCTGCAGGGAAGGAGGCTGTGCCGACAGGGTGCCAAGCAAAGGTGCTGAGTCCAGAGCAGCTCAGCAAGCCCCTCCAGGGTAAGACTTGCTGCTAGGCAACGCAAGATAAGAGACTGGGCAGCCATGCGGTCAAGCTTCAGTCAGAACGGAGTAAGTCAGAGTCCTGTGAGCCTGTCCTGGACTGTGCTCCATCTAGGCATGCCCACTTTTCTGTCAGTTTTCACCGTTCACCTGTGCCAGCCGCTGCTCTTGGAGCAGAGGGATAGAAGCTGCAGAGCAGCCTGTGGTCTGCTGCCTATGATGGTTGTGGGGCAGATGGAGCCCCCGTGATGGAGCCATGAGAGCCAGAAGGCAGCCAAGGTGGATGTGGGGGAGACGTATGCCACTAAAGAACAGTGGGGGCAGGGGCTAGGGATGCCATGGTACAGAAGACCAAAGCTGGACGGCGGAGGGCAGAGCCGAGGGTCAAGGTGAGGCTCTCCCCGTGAAGCTACTTACCTGCAGGGTGATGATGTCTTGCCTGGAAAAGGGCTCATCAGTCAGTAAGTCCCTCAGGTTCTTGGCCTTGATGTTTAGCTGCTCCACTGCCTACAGCAGGACAGAGGTGTCATGACACAGAGATAAGGGCCACCCTGGGGTGCACAGTCTCGAATGCTCTCATAGCACAGACTAGCTAAACCAACCTGGCTGCTTCAGGCAAGAGGTCTAACATGGGCTCTCCTGGGCTACAGGCTGCTCCTGCCCCTCCCACCAACCTGGCACCTCCTTCTTCCTAAGAGCCTAGCTGCTCCTTTTCTCCCAGGTACCTCCCAGAGTCTGGTTCTTCCCATGCTGAAGACGTGGGAAGACTCTCTGGGATACAGGGAACCCTTGCTTAGGCAGCCCGAACTGCCTGCCTAGGTTTCAGGTCCAAAGGCCACCAGAGTCACCTGGCTTTTTGTTTTTTTTGTTTTTTTTTTTTTGGTTGGTTGGTTGGCTGGTTTGGTTTTTCAAGACAGGGTTTCTCTGTGTAATAGCCCTAGTTCGAACTTGTAGAGACCCACCTGTCGCTGCCTCCTAAATGGTGGGATTAAAGGTGTGTGCCACTGCCACCCAGCTGAAGTCACCTGATCTTTATTTTAAACCCTCATAAAGCAGGAAGGCCACCTAGCCAGAGATGACGCCTGTGCAGAAGGCTATAAAGCTATAAAGCCATGAGGACAGGCATGCTCACTGCTCCTGGTTCACCTCCAGCACTCAGCCAGGCTTTTGGACTCCCCCAAAGCACATGTGAGGGCCCACATTACACAGTCCCACGCATTACAATAGAGGTTTACCTCATAGGTATAGACATTGCCAGTTGTCCTGATAGCCACAATATGAGTGTTGTCAGTGAACACCGAGTACAGCACTGGACAGTGGTACTGCCCTGGAAAGCAAGCACACACAGGGCTAGTGGCCCTCGAGAGTTATGATTAAGCAATCCTGAGAGGACATTTTTATAACCCAGCTACTCAGGAGGCTGAGGCAGAAGAAAAGGCAAGGCCAGCTGGACAGTTCAAGAAGTTGCAGGGTCTTGGATGGAGAAATGGCTCAGTGGTTAAGAGCACTGACTGCTCTTCCAGAGGTCCTGAGTTCAATTCCCAGCAACCACATGGTGTCTCACAGCCATCTATAATGAGACCCGGTGCCCCCTTCTGGCCTGCGGGCACACATGGAAGGAATGCTATACACATAATAAATAAATAAATCTTTAAAAAGAAAAAAAAAAAAAGCACTTGACTGCTCTTCCAGAGGGCCCGGGTTCAATTCCCAGCACCCACATGGCAGCTCACAACTCTCTGTAACTCTAAGATCTGACTCCCTCATGCAGACATACATGTAGGCAGAACACCAATACACATAAAATAAAATAAATAATAATAAAGACTTTCGTCTCAAAGTGAAATTTTGAAAGGAGGCTCAGTGACCGTGCATTAGCCTAGCATGCGCTAAATATTGCATTCAACGCCATTGCCACGAGAGAGATAGGGAGGGAGGGAAGGACAGGTGGTGGTGCACACCTTTGATCCCAGCACTGGGAGGCAAAGGCAGGCAGATCTCCAAGTTCGAGGCCAGCCTGGTTGACAGATCAAGTTCCAAGACAGTAGGAGCTACACAAAGAAACCCTGTCTGGGGGTGGGGAGGGCAAGGAAGGAACCAGTAGGAGTCAGAGAAGGGAAGGGCAGGAAGAACCTTAGGCCAGCCACAGGGATGGCAGCCATTCAAGCTCCATTTCCACACTGTTAACAACTCCTATTCCTTTTACAAGCCCCAAGCCTTGCTTCCTCTTACTTGGAGCACTGTTAGCCTCCAGAGCAGCTCAGGTGACCCACTGTCTGGGCTTATCTTTCCAGAGACCCACAGTACCCAGCACTCCCTTTATCTCCTGGCCTTCCTCACCTAGCTCTCTTCCTGCCCCAAAAGATGATCTCCCATCCAGCAGGGGCCTCGTCAGATAAATGGAGGTGGGGTGAGGTGGGGAGGACAAATAGATGTATCATCCACATGCATCTAGATAGATTTCTAAAAATTTTGTTTTAAAATAAAGAAATCTTACACACACACATCAAAAACAAAACAAAACAAACCTATGGACATGTAACCACTGTGTGTCTATTTGATGACCAGGGAATTCTCGTTCATTTTTAAGTGTCATAAGATTATGAAGATGTAAGTCATTACCTTTTAATTGATGTACTACATTTTTGGTTTTTTTGTTTGGTTGGTTTTTCAAGATAGGCTTTCTCTGTGTAGCCCTGATTGTCCTGGAACTCACTTTGTATAGTATAGACCAGGTTGGCCTTGAATTCAGAGATCTGCTGCCTCTGTCTCCTGAGTGCTGGGATCGTACAACCACTACCTAGCCTTGCATTATATTTTTATTCATTAACTTTGTGTGCTGGGTGAGGGGACAGGGTGTGCACATGTCACAGTGCAAATGTGGAGGTCAAAGAATAACTTCAAGAATTCGGTTCTCCCTTCCACCGTAAGCTCTGCAGATGGAATTCAGGTTGCCAGGCTTGGCAGCAAGTGCCTTTACCCTCTGAGCCATCTCACCAAGCCCTACAGAGCAAAACAATGAAGTGGGAAACGACACACCCATGTCTGAGATCTGCCTCAAGCACCACCCTGAGACAGCAAAGAGAAGCCCAGATGAAACCAGCAGGCTGTAAGGAACTGGGGCTGCCGAGTGCGTGGGTAGAAATGTCCCACTAGTGCTGCGTTCATGGGTCTGAGAGTTCAAATCAAACCAAAGCAGATTTGGTCAAGGTAGCCTGCACCTAAAATCCTAGCAATTCAGAGTCTGAGAAGGATCAGGAATTCAAGGCTAGACTCAGTTACAAAATGAGCCAATCTAGACTTGACCTAAAAATAAAAAGCTTAAAAAAAAAAGGGGGGGGGGGGAGACAAGGCTAGTTCATTAGTAGAGGACCTGCATAGCACGTACAGTGTTTCTCCGTTGGTCTCCCTAGTACCACAGGACTGGTCTGCCTCCTGTCTCCACCCCAGTCTTAAGTCACATGCCTGTGTTCCCATGGTTTCAACAGTACTGAATTTCTGCCACACATGGACATGCTCGAGCACATGCCTTTCTTTGATGCACCTGACCCCTCTAGCTAGAATGTTCTTCCCACATCTTCATACAGCTTCCTCTCACCAAGTTTCCTCTCACACACTGCTGCCCTCCGTGGGTATCCTGCTGGCCCATTCCTTCCTCTACTTCTATCTAAAACAGACAGGACATCTGATGCCCTACACATCTCCTGCCCAGATTCCTCCGCCACCAACACAAGCTCTTCACTCCAGAACAGACACACACACCACCTCACCCCACCTGCTTGTTCTCTGCACATTTCCAGGGAGAATTGCTCTATAACAGACACACATAACCTCCTCGGCTGCTGGAGGTCAGACAATGAAGAAAGATGGCTCAGTGATTATGGTACTTATGTCAGAGTGAAACCATAAGGAACCTGCAACAAGATCAGACCCCAGGACAGGGACAGGGCAGCTGCGTTATCTGGATAGACAACAACAGGGCACAAAGGGACTTAGAGCAGGAGGCCCCAGTGGGGCAGAGGTCTGCAGGAGGAGTGATGATTGACAGTCTACTTAAGAGCAGACTGGAAATGCCTCCCAAACACCCATAACTACAGCTGAGCTAGGCACCCTGGACTTTGGCTGAGCAACTTACACCTACAGCCAAGAATAGGCCATAGCCTCAGCCAGGTATGCCCCATGCACGAGGCCCAACTATGGCACCAGCAGCTTACAACATCCCAACAGCCTTTGTGGGAGCCACCTATCCCTACCTAACCTACCTGACCTACCTGACCCTTTGAGAAGTCATGTGACATCCGGAAAAGCAAAAGCAAGTATCAGAAAGGAATGAGTGAGGCTGGAGATGTGGCTCAGGCAGAACACTTGCTTAGCCTCCAAGCACAAGAGAAGAGAAAAGAATGTCTGATTACAGACAAGAAGTTGGTGAGAGCAGGAGCTGGGGTTCTGTGACCAGTCCTGGAGCTGGCTACAAAAGGGCTCTCACCTTCACTGTTCTTTGCAAAGTTCAGCTTGATCAAGGACTTCCCATCAAGTTTCTGGAAGACAGACAATTAACAATAATGAGTAAGGGGAGAAATAAAATGAAGGCTGCCAAATTAGGAGCAACAGAGACAGAAGAGAAGGAGCTGCCCAACTGACTCTTCAGCTTACACTAGCGGAAATCTCTCTGGGAGTCTCCAAGACACAGCCCGGGCTCCTTAAGGCTGTAGATGCAAGTCTATGCAGTTGCACTGATGTAACCTGTAAACCCAGGCTGCGAGCAGATCCCCAGATTTGTAAACCACCAAATCCAACAAATATAAGGGGTGATCACTGCGCTAAACGGTAAAGCTGTGGAACAAAGAATGGTCTGTATTTCCACAATGCCTAAACTTTTCTTTTTGGTACCAGGTACCAAACTCAGGACCTCATAGATGTGTGCTCTACCACTGAGCTTCATACCCAGGCCTTGTCTGAATATCTGTATGGTAAGCACACCACTTAATATGTGGGTGCAGGACCACTGAGATGACTGAACTCAATCCCTGAAACCTACAGTGGCGGGAGAACAAACTCCTGAAAGTTGTCACACAGCAACACCCACACCATATACATATCTCTAGTAATAATAATGGTAATGAACAAAATAAAAACAAATGAATATTCCTAAAACTAGGAGGAAAGCAGAGAAATGCCTCCGCTGGTAAAGGTCTTGTCATTGAGCCTGATGGTATGCTCCATGCTCAGCAGGACCTGGAGAAAGGAGAGAACTAACTCCCACAGTTGTTCCCTGACCTTTACACACATGCTGTGGGCCCACATGCACATACACATACACAAAATAAATAAGTGTAACAAACAGAGCTAGTGAGAGTACTCGGGTATTCTGCTTATATTGTGGTACAAATATTTTTTTTAAAAGGAGTAAAACACTGAAAGTGGAAAAGCTGGTGCTGTAGCTCAGTAGTGGAGTGTGTGTTCAGCATGGATAAAGACCTAGGTACAGCAAAAAAGGAGTGGACATGCCCACAGACTAGGTAGGGGCGGTATGACAGAATACACCCCTGTAGGATTTCATAGCCAAAGTAACCGCTATATGTAGTTTGGCAGCTGCAGATCACAGACCAGCTAACAAGATTTGATATCCCAAAGAACACCTGTGACACAGAATGCAAAAATTACAAAAAGCACCCAGGTGTAACTGAATAACAATGTCCACCCGAAAAGGAGACAACTGTAGAAAAGATACCAGAGGTGGAGGCTTGGAAGCAGAGGACAGGGAACACTAACAAGATGACAAAGGGTAGAGCTGCAGCAGCCTTTGGTAGTCATGGCCTCAGGAAGGCAGAGACCAAAAATCACAAGGCACAGGCGGGCAGCAGGGGCCTCATAAAAAGGAAACCAGTAAAGGGTATGCTCCCAGTCCGGGGACTCGGGAAAAGCCCTGGAGCTTCCTGGCTGTCAGCAGAAAAAGCTGGTCACACTTCCAAGTGAGAAACACCAAGGAAGGAAAGCAAACTACTTAGGGAGGTAAGACCCAAGATTCTACCCCAAGCAGCCCAAGATCAAGTGCACAGGCTCTGGAAGCAGTCTAAGACGCCTGTGTACAGTGCTGCTCCCCTTTCCTCGGGTATGGGAAGAAATGGGCTGGCAATACACGCATCTACACTCGAAAGAATCCCTGGACTTCATAGCAGTCCCAGACTGTCACCAGGGCCAGAAAGACTCCGGCCAGCTTCCTGCCACCCAGTAGGTTAGAGTCTTAAAGGCTTTTATTTTGTTTTGCTTGAGATTTTATATGTGGATTTTTTTTGGAGGGGAGAGGATGCTAGAAAATGGAAGCCAAGGCCTTCTGCAAGCTAGGCAAGTGCTCTATTATTGAGCTACACCCCCAACTCAAAGGTTCTTCTTGCCAAGGGAGCTTCTGCCCCAGGCAGAGGAAGTGAAGGGACAACATGATCTACTCTAACAGGAGAGGCAGAGTCACAGACTAAATACATTGAAAATTCCCTGGACTGGGTTGAAAATGTTCCCCCAAAGTTTGCAGGCCCCAGAAACCTTCCTTCAAACAGGGCTTCCATGGAGGTAATCAAGTGAAGATGGAGCCACGCTGGTGGCAGTAGAGCAATGTCCTGGCCTCAGATCCTGCCTGCACTAAGTACCAGCTCCACTGGCCCTCATTGCCAATCAGAACAGTGACAACTGCTCAGGAAGCTCTTGCTGAACTGTGGCCAGTCCCCAAAAATCACAGTACTAAGTGACTGCTAAGATCTCTACTGCCCTAAGGACACGACTCAGACTCAACACCTTAAATATCCTGCTGACCCAGTCTACAGCTCTCTCCTTCCTCTACCTTCAGCCTGGTCAAATGTACACAGCATCTCTCGCCCAGACAAATGCATGATCCCCAGCAGATCTCCCCGGGGCCACCAAGCTCCTGAGAGCACCTTCCTGACAAAACCAGACCTATCCTCAATACAGTCAGGTCATGACCCTGCCTGGGGCATCCAATCCACAAGAGTAAGTCCAGGGCCAGCAAGGCTCCCCAGGATGGCATCTAAATGTCATTATGTCTCATCCTCAGGACTGAGCATGACAGCAGCTCCCCAGAGACTTACTCAGTCACCTACCCTCCCTCTTTCCTTGCCATTCCTCTCTGCATCATTTCAATGACACACACCTGACCTGCCTGTCCCATCCCCATGTTGGGCCCAGCATACACTAAGTTGAGGCCTTCTTAGCAGGGACAACTGAAAAGATGAAGAACCAGGCCACGGAAGGAAAGGAGACGGACTTCTAAGACACAAAGGGACCAAAGGGCCAGAGGCCAATTAAGATGTGTAAAAAGTGAGGCTAGAAAATAAGCTAGCGACAATCATAACCGCAAACTACTGTTGGCTGTCCTGGGACTTGCTCTGTAGACCAGGTTGAGCTCACACTCACGGAAATCTACCTACTGCTGTTTCTGAAGAGCTGGGATTAAAGGCAAGAACAACTTTCCTTTCATCCCTAAAAAAAAAACAAAAAAAAAAAAAAAAAAAAAACAAAACTGCCAGGTGAGGATGGCATACGCCTTTAATCCTAGCACTCAAGAGATAGAGGCAGGCAAATATTTTGAGTTTGAGGTCAGTCTGATCTACAGAGTGAGTTCCAGGACAGTCAAGGCTACAGAGAAACCCTGTCTCAAAAAAACAAAAACAAAAATACCCTTGATTTGTCAAAGACATGGGAAAGAAGCATTTTCTTCTTGCAATGTGGCTAAAAGCTTAAAATGTATTAACAGTTTTGAATGGCAGTTGGCCAGTAACTATGGAAACTGACAATGCACCTTCTTTTGACTCTGCAGTCCTAGAAGAATATAGCTGTGTGTTCAAGAAAATGTGCATGGAGCCATTACTGCACTTCTGCTGTGACTGGCAATGACAGAGGATTCAGTACGACTCAGTCACAAAGACGACACGAGACCGATGACGGCTCAGCAGGTAAAGTCACTTGCCACCACGTCAGATACCCTGAGTTAGGTCACTAGAACCCATATGGTGGGAGGCGCTGTCCTCTGACCCTGTGCCATGGCATGTGCACTTACACAGATATGCCTACATACTTACACATACACTCACAAGCACATAAGTGTAAAAACCCATCCTTTCTAAGACAGAGTGCTTTCTGTACGGACACCCTTGAGACTTACTAGCACCTTGATAAAGCAAGATACACATGAGTCACCAACTCTGATCAAACTCAAGAGAAAACACAGACAGCCAGGCCTGGAGGCTAAAGCAAGAATGCAGTGAATGAGAAGACAGCCTGGGCTACACAATAAGACCCTGACTCAAGCAAAGATATAATGAATGGTGTACATTCACAGGAGACTAGTACCAAGACTCCACAGTATCCCAATCTCAAAATGATATAGCATTTGAATGTAACCTATGTGTACCCTCTCACCAACTTTAAAACATCTCTAGACTGCTTGCTACCTATTACAATATAAATCCTACACAAATTACTATCTGATACTGTTTAGTAAACAATGACAAGAAAAAGTGTATAGATATTCAATACAGATACAATTTTTCCACAAATACTTCTTTTTGAGCATGGTTGATTGAATCTAAGAACAGAGAATCTGCCATCACAGGCCCTGCGAGCAGTTCTCCACTGAGGAAATGAAAACTGCAAGGACAAAGCAAGGGCAGGGCACAGCTCCACGGCAACAAGCACCTGTGTGACCACCTACCTCTCCATTGCTGGGATTGGTCCCATACTTCTTAAGCCACGGAACAATGTTCCTGATGGGAGAGAACAAAAACTGTCACTAGGGCGCTAGAGAGATGGCTCAGCAGTTAAGAGCATGTGGTCCTCTAAGCTCCCAGCATCCACATGACATGGCAGAACAGCTATCTGAATGGAACTCCATCCAGTTTCAGAGAACCCAATGTCCTCTCCCAGCTCCCACAGGCACTGCACAAATGTGGTGCGCACACACACACAGGCAAAACATCCACACACATGAAATAAAAATAAATCTTAAAGGGGCTGGAGAGATGGCTCAGAGGTTAAGAGCACTGGCCGCTCTTCCAGAGGTCCTGAGTTCAATTCCCAGCAACCACATGATGGCTCACAACCATCTGTAATGAGATTTGGTGCCCTCTTCTTACCTGCAGGGATACAGGCAGGCAGAGCACTGTATACATAATAAATAAATATTTAAAAATAAATAAATATTTTAAAAAAGTCACCAGTAGGTGCTGCCAGTGACAACCTGGAAGCCCTAGGGCTGTTTCCAGGTGAGCTGTAAGGCAGGCTGCACTTCCCCACAGAAGGGAAGAACACTTCCATCAGAGTGGGTGCACTTGTAGGTCATGTGTTCCCACACACGTTCGGTGACTTGGCGTGTTCTGGTACTGGAGCCTGAACACACGCTTGTGCATACAGTGTCTCCACTGAGCTCCACTCAGTATCTGCAGGATTTTACGGAAGTTCCGTATAAACAAGAACTTTAACTAGGCAGAAGGGCAAACAGATGTTAGCATGCCTATACAAAACACTAGGTCAGCATCAGAAATTATACCTGCAGCCACGCATGGTGTGAGCCTGGTTACTTATGAGATGAAGGCAGGGAATCACTAGAACCCAAGAAGTCAATGCCAGGACAACACAATGAGACCTCCCCCACTTCAAATAGATAAATCTCTATACAAGGCCCAGAAGGTTTAAGCATTCATAGTGATGATCCTGAACAGTGAGCTCTTTATGGTAAAATGTCCTACTGAAGTATTTTATATTTTTCTAAATTTTAGAAAATATTTTAGAATCTAAAACAAGCTTGAAATATAAAATAAAGCTAACACATGTTGACACATAAAATAGGGTCTAATGCTTCAGAATGTAATGCTGGAAGTGTGCGCCTTCATCACAGCTCTGCTTTCGTCAAGCAGACAATATCCAGTCCATCACGGCTCCACAGCAACAACAGACAGGTGACCAGCTGGTCACTAAAACATGGTAGGAAGACTCATCTCCATTCTAAGCAGTGGCAACAGCATCTGTCAGCTAATACTGCCTGCTAGAGGTCACAGGACACTTCTGCCATGTCCCCTGTCTGTCCCTCCCAATTCCCAAAGAGGCTCGCCTAGATCTCAGGAAGTTTCTAGGGACAAGACTTTGGTGACTCTGTCCCTGCTTAGAGCCATAAACTCAACACTCCTTTCTCTACTAGGTGTCAACGATCCTGCAGTATCTGTTCAATCAAGACAGTGCTGGGAGACAGCGCAGGGACAAAGTACTTCTCATGCGAGCACAAAAACCTGAGATTTGGATCCCCAAAAAATCCAGACAAGACAGCACTCAGATATCTGTAACTTCAGTAGGGACTGGAGGCGCTGAGACAGGCAGACCCTGGGAGATGCTTGTCAGCCAGCCTAGCTGACACTGCAAGTTCCCCGACAAGGTCCAGCCTCAAAAACATAAGGTGGAGAACAACAAAGACGGCTGAGGTCAACCACTGGCCTCCACATACACTGCTGCACATACACACACACACCACATACTCGGGCACAAACATGCAAACACAGACATGGACACACACAGACAGACACACGCACGCACGCACACACACCCCACAAATAAAAAGAAATTTAAAAATTCAAGAGGAAACTCACAGCAAATCAAAGACGACACCTTCTGGAGTGCAGACCGGGTAGACAAAAGGCTGCAGGGAGAGACTGAAAAGGACAGAAGTCTGGTGAGCTTCTGGGAACACTAAGCATGCTACAGTTCCAACAACCTTCCCATCAGTTCCAAGTGTGCTCGGCACTGACACACCACACCACTAAGGATGCATCATCAAGAGGTGCCTCAGCACTGGACTTCTCTTCCAGGTTTTGTTGTCAGATTCAAGTCAAAAAGAGATCCTCTGTCTCTGTGAGTTCGAGACCAGCCTGATCTACAAGAGCTAGTTCCAGGACAGGCTCCAAAGCCACAGAGAAACCCTGTCTCGGGGAAAAAAAAAAAAAAAGGTCCTCTGTGTTGGTCCTGAGGAAGCAGGCCTGCAATTCCCTCTCCAGATCCTCACAGAGCAGGCAAACCAAGCTTTCGTCCCAAGAGCCACCCTTCCCCATGCCAAGATTTGATAAGATTTGGTCTACTGTGCCTGCACCACTCGTGTGCTGGGACCACGACCGAGGAAAAGCTGAATCCCTGGGAATTTTTGAAGCCCGGAGGTGGAGGTCTACAGCAGCCTCAACTACCCTAATCGTTTCCACACGCGGCGTCTGCCTGGCGAAGAGTCCATGCCGCTGCTTTCCTTGCTTTCTTGTGATGGTCTCAAGCCTTTAAATCTAGCACCTGGGAGGCAGAGCAGGTGGATCTTCTTCAGTTAAGAGGCCAGTCTGGTCTACATAGTGAATTTCAAATCCACAGAAACAGAACTGCATAGACTCTGTTTAAAAAAAAACAATGGCAGGGTGGTGATGGCACACACCTTCCAGCACTTGAGAAGCAGAGGCAGGTGGATCTCTGAGTTTGAAGGCAAGTTCCAGGACAGCAATGGATACACAGAGAAACCCTGTCTAAAAAAAAAAAAAAAAGCAAAAAACCAACAACAACAAAACCAACTTTGACTTTAACTAGCCAGTAAGTGGCTGGAGCAGAACAGGGCCAGTTCGAGACTCTGGTGGAGAGCTCACTCCCCAGCACTTCACCCAATCGCAGTGCAGTCAGAGGCTTCCAGAGGTGCTAGACCCAAGAGTGAAAACAGGGCTGCAGCCTCCCTCCCTTTCTCACTGACAGGCTCCCACTAGGTCACCTGACCTTCAGAGTAGCCCTTGGAGGGAAGGACGCCAACCACACCAGCCTTCCCTCCCTCCCCGACTTACCCTGAGAGAACAGCATAAGGAGATGGCTGGGTCCTTGTCTAGGACTGCTTCCCCAGCAGTCCCCTGTCCAGATACCAGTATGCCCCAAAGCAACACCTGACGGCTCAGCATCTGGCTACCCTCCCCTTCCCACCAGTACCTGAGTCCCAGGGAAGGAAGGGACCTGCCAGAATCATCACTATTGCTGATGTACAGCTGCTTACAATCTGAACAAAATAGGGCACCACAGGCAGAGCTGCGAGTCAGACCATCTGGGCCACACGCCATCCCAGGACTTATGCTATTCTTCCAGGCACGTGTCCTCCCAGACATAAAGTAAGCTTAGCCACAGGGTCCAGTCAGACTCAGAAGATTGTAGTAAAAAGCAAAACTGGTAACCACACACACAGTAACCAGAAAATACCCATGCACTGGCCTCATGGCTGGGTCTGCTTTCTCCCACTCAAGTTATCTTGAAAGGCACAGAGAAAACTGTGAGCACATCTCAGAGTCAAGTTCACACAGATTGTACATGTTAAAATTCTGGCTTTCTAGGCTTAAAAAGGGTTGAATTTGGAGATATTTTAAATTTTGGATTTTTCAGATCAAGGACGATCAACTGTTTATGCAAAAACACTACAGATGCAAGTATGGTAGCCTGTAATTCTAATAATTGAGAGGTAGAAGCAGGAGAATTATGAGTTCAAGGCCAACCCAAGTTACAGAGTTAAGACCCTATCTTAAAACACACACACCGAGGCTAGAGAGATGACTCAGTGGTTAAGAGCATTATTGCTCTTCCAGAGGGCCTGAGTTCAATTCACAGCAACTACATGATTGCTCACAACCATATATAGTGGGATATGCTGCCTCTGGTTCTGTGCATGAAGACAGAGCACACATATACATGAATAAATAAATCAAAAAAAAAAAAAAAACAAGAAATACACATGTAATTCTATACACATGTGTTAAAAAAATAAATAAAAAATAAAACACACACATTTGGAGAGATGATAACCAAAATAAAACAGAAGCCTTTTAAAGGTCTTACCTACAGTGGTCAAAAGGTAAGCGGCGAAAACTTGTCCGTGTGATATCTGTTTAAATAAAATAAAAACCAGAAAGCTTGTCTGGGAAATATTTCAGCTATGTGCACCTACCACTAGAACTACATCACCATGTATTAGCTTTTTTGTTGCTGCTGGAGAGCAGACCCAGGGCCTTGTACATGCTCTGTGCTAGGTGCTTCACTGAGCAACACCGCCAGGCCTGGGTTAACAATCTTGGTAGCAGTCCCAGCACGCAGGAGACAGAGGCAGGCAGATCTCTGTGATTTTTGAGGCCAGCCTGGCCTACAAAGTGAGTTCCAGGACAGCCAGGGTTACACACACACACACACACACCAAAAAAAAAAAAAACCCAAAAACCTGTCTTGAAAAACCAAAAAAGAAAAGAATATTTTATTGGGGGCCTAAAAAAAAAAAAAAGATGGCTCAGAGGACCTGAGTTCAAGGATTAAAGGCATGCACCACCACACCTGGCCTAACTAAGCTTTTTTTTTCTAACAACTGTCAGAGGCACAGTGGCTCACACCTGAGGCAGAAACAGAACAGTCTTGAGTTCAAGGTCAGCCTGAGCTACTTAAGACTATATTTTATTTTATTTTATTTTATTTTTCGAGACAGGGTTTCTCTGTAGCTTTGGAGCCTGTCCTGGAACTTGCTCATGTAGAACAGGTTGGCCTCGAACTCACAGAGATCCACCTGCCTCTGCCTCCTGAGAGCTGGGATTAAAGGTGTGCACCACCACCGCTCAGCAAGACTATTATTTAAAAAAAAAAAAAAAGTCAGGTGATAGTGATGCACACCTTTAATCCCAGCACCTGGGAGGCATACAGGCAGATGTGAGTTTGAAGCCAACCTAGTCTATAGAATGGGTTCCAGGACAGCCAAAGCTACACAGAGAAACCCTGTCTCAAAAAAATAAATTATAAATAAATTATATAGATGTGTGTGTGTGTGTGTGTATATATATATCCTGATATATATATATCCTGATGGCTGGAGAGATGGCTCAGTGGTTAAGAGCACTGGCTGTTCTTCCAGAGGACCTGAGTTCAATTCCCAGCACTCACACGGCAGCTCACAACTGTCTGTAACTCCAGTTCCAGAGGATCTGGCACCCTCACACAGACACACATGCAGGTAAAACACCAATGCACATAAAATAAATTAAAAAAAAAAAAAGACCATGTCCTTTCTTTCTTGACAACTCTGGGTACTACCGTTCCTTTTTTCTTCCTATAAAGAAATGTTTATAGCGCTTCCTAAAGGAAAAGTCATGTTAAATTATATTTTTAAACCTCTCCACTCAGGTAAGTAGACTCTACTTCACTGAGTATACGTACTCTTTTCTGGACTCTGGCCTCTCCAGTTATACACTGTAATGTCAGTATTCTGGTTCTTATCCGTTGTTCTGGATCACTGTATACATCCCTCAGTAGCACCAGCATCCTTACCTGGCTTCCTGCCGCCATAGAAGTGAGTGTACTCAGCGCAGGTGATGTACCTAAGGAAGACAGAGAATATTACTAGCTCCCCTCCCAGAAAGAACAGAAGCCGTAGAAGCAACCTGACAGAACTGCCCTCACTTGACAGGTGCACATGAAACAGCTGTAGTGTCAGACACAGAATGATAAGCACAAGAGGAAGAAAGAGAAGCACCAACAGGGCCTTGCCCAGAAAGAGATGGGCTGGACTTAGAAAAGACCTGTGAATAAAATATTCTATGACAAAGATCTGGGGAAGCCCTTACTGAGACGTTGTGGGGGTGGCAGGAAGACAGCAGAGGAACTAGTGAGGAGGTGGGAGGGGGCAGCAGATGGAAACAATAGTAGCTGCGTCAAAAAGGAGTCTTAAAGATCACAGAAAGTACTCTCTATTCACCTTCAGTGTGGTGGGACGCTGTTGGATGGTTGTGAGCAGGAGGCAGGCAGGACCTAAGACAGCTCTAGCTGCTGTGGGCATGCTTCTACTGGTGTGCAAGGCTGAGGACTGTCTTCAGTCTATGTATAGTAAATCAGGGACTTAATATGTAACCACTGGGATAGGATGGAAGAGAGCAAGCTTAAGGTGTGAAACTTATCAAGAACTCCCTTTCAGGCCTACTAATTCTGAGAGAGCTAATCGAGTAAAGAGTAAACAGCTGGCGTAGTGCAAGAGCGATGAGACTACTAGAAAAGATCATCCACTGAGAACCAGAAAGGAACGGGGTACCTATGAAGTCTGGAACAAGGGAAGAGGAACGAGAAAAGAGAGGTCACTGACGCAGATAAAAACAAAGCGCACAGGGCTGGAGAGATGGCTCAGTGGTTAAGAGCATTGCCTGTTCTTCCAAAGGTCCTGAGTTCAATTCCCAGCAACCACATGGTGGCTCACAACCATCTGTAATGAGATCTGGTGCCCTCTTCTGGTCTGCAGACATACACACAGACAGAATATTGTATACATAATAAATAAATAAATAAATATTTTAAAAAAAGATTTATTTATTAAAAAAAAAAAAAACAAAGCGCACATCCCACCAAAGACCGGCTTCGTAAAGGGAAGAGTCCCAAGGACTGAGAGCTGGCACCAGATTTGGCAATACAGAAGTCAAAGGCATCCTTGCAGTTTGGGGGAGACCATCTTACTACACTAGTTTCAAGACAACAGAAAACAGACAGTCGCAAATGGAGAGGAACGTGGAGTACGGCCCACTAGTCTTAAACTGTCGCCTGTGTGTAGGCTGGCAGGCGAGAGCCAGGACGAAGTGGCCCTGTACAGGGCAGACAACAAACGCAGGGGCAGAAAGGGAAGCGGTAGAGGCAATCCCCAGAAGTAAGCTTGTCCGGCCGCGGAGGCCGCACTGAGGGGCGCCAGCAAAGAGGCTTTCGGGAGGAGATGACCTTCAGGATGGCGAAGGGCTGAGACGAAAGGTGCTGCCCCAACTTACATCTTATCCTTCTGGTGTTGTCGCTTCCCCATGGCGGCGAAGAACCTTAAGCAGCCCCGGCAGACGATCAGACTCTGGCGCCTCCGCTTTCTCAACTACTTCCGAAGTTCGACCCACCCAGTCCCGGAAGTAGGAATAAGGCATTCTGGGAACTGTGGTTTCCAAGAGCACCAGAGTGCGTGCTTGCTAAACTGAGGCTTACTGCCTCTGAGTAGAATCTTCTTTTCCTGTCTCCAGCCAAACTGCGTTGCAACTTCTCAGAGACTTCTCTGTGTACTGCCCATGCTATGCATGGTTTTTTTTTTTTTTGGTTTTTTTTTTTTTTTTTTTTTTTTTTTTTTTTTTTTTTTTTT